ATAACTCTACAACCCTGGACAAGAAAAGGTAAATAACTCTACAACCCTGGACAAGCCCCGTTAAATAACTCTACAATCCTGGACAAGAAAAGGTAAATAACTCTACAACCCTGGACAAGAAAAGGTAAATAACTCTACAACCCTGGACAAGAAAAGGTAAATAACTCTACAACCCTGGACAAGAAAAGGTAAATAACTCTACAACCCTGGACAAGAAAAGGTAAATAACTCTACAACCCTGGACAAGAAAAGGTAAATAACTCTACAACCCTGGACAAGAAAAGGTAAATAACTCTACAACCCTGGACAAGAAAAGGTAAATAACTCTACAACCCTGGACAAGAAAAGGTAAATAACTCTACAACCCTGGACAAGAAAAGGTAAATAACTCTACAACCCTGGACAAGAAAAGGTAAATAACTCTACAACCCTGGACAAGAAAAGGTAAATAACTCTACAACCCTGGACAAGAAAAGGTAAATAACTCTACAACCCTGGACAAGAAAAGGTAAATAACTCTACAACCCTGGACAAGAAAAGGTAAATAACTCTACAACCCAGTTAAATGATCATAAAAAAAGTCACTGGTGATTTTCAACAACAGTTTATTCAGATCCATCCATAGGTATCTTGGTTGAAACCTGATACATATATCAACAGAAAATGTTGACTCAATCTTTATATTAAAACAATGCAGATTCTAACACTGAGAAGGTTAAATAAAAGTCAGAAATGATTATGATTGGTGGTTGAGAAGTTTTTATGTCCTCCTTCATGACTTCCATGAGGCCAGTCAATGGCAATTACATGTTGATGTCATACAGAAATGTCTTCACTTCTACAGTGATGAAAAGAAATGTCACACAGCAGGGAACAGATAGGCAAGTCACACATACAATGGACAACAGACAGGTAGGTCATACATACAGTGGGGAACAGATAAGTAAGTCACACAAACAGTTGGGAACAGATAAGTAAGTCACACATACAGAGGGGAACAGATAAGTAAGTCACACATACAATGGACAACAGACAGGTAGGTCATACATACAGTGGGGAACAGATAAGTAAGTCACACAGCAGGGAACAGATAGGCAAGTCACACATACAATGGACAACAGACAGGTAGGTCATACATACAGTGGGGAACAGATAAGTTAGTCACACAGCAGGGAACAGATAGGCAAGTCACACATACAGTGGACAACAGTCAGGTAGGTCATACATACAGTGGGGAACAGATAGGTAAGTCGCACAAACAGTTGGGAACAGATAAGTAAGTCACACATGCAGTGGGGAACAGATAGATAATTCACACATACAGTGGGGAACAGACAGGTAGGTCACACATACAGTGGGGAACAGATAGGTAGGTCACACAAACAGTTGGGAACAGATAAGTCACACATACAGAGGGGAACAGACAGGTAGGTCACACATACAGTGGGGAACAGACAGGGAGGTCACACATACAGAGGGGAACAGTTAAGTAAGTCACACAAACAGTTGGGAACAGACAGGTAGGTCACATATACAGTGGGGAACAGATAGGTAAGTCACATATAAAGTGAGGAACAGACAAGTAAGTCACACATACAGTGGGGAACAGACAGGTAGGTCACACATACAGAGGGGAACAGATAAGTAAGTCACACATACAGAGGGGAACAGATAAGTCACACATACAGTGGGGAACAGATAGATAAGTCACACATACAGTGGGGAACAGACAGGTAGGTCACACATACAGTGGGTAACAGACAGGTAGGTCACACATACAGTGGGGAACAGATAGGTAAGTCACACATACAGAGGGGAACAGATAGGTAGGTCACACATACAGTGGGGAACAGACAGGTAGGTCACACATACAGAGGGGAACAGATAAGTAAGTCACACAAACAGTTGGGAACAGATAAGTAAGTCACACATACAGTGGGGAACAGACAGGTAGGTCACACATACAGTGGGGAACAGACAGGTAGGTCACACATACAGTGGGGAACAGATAGGTAAGTCACACATAGAGTGGGGAACAGATAAGTAAGTCACACATACAGAGGGGAACAGATAAGTAAGTCACACATAAGGTGAGGAACAGATAGGTAAGTCACATATACAGTGGGGAACATATAAGTAAGTCACACATACAGTGGGGAACAGATACGTAAGTCACATATACAGTGGGGAACAGATAGGTAAGTAACACATACAATTGGAAACAGATAGGTAAGTCACACATACAGTGGGGAACAGATACTTATGTCACATATACCATGTAACTTGTCACATATATAAAAGCTTTACCTGAAATTTACAGTGAGAGAAACTTTATAGTTATCAGAATGTGAGGTTTTGAAAGATAATAAAATTAAATCACATCACTGATATTCTAAAAACATACCTTTTATTGTGTACAACAAAATGAAAACTTCAATAAAATTGACTATATCCAGTATAGCTACGAAAAGTGAAAACATCTGCCAATACATATAGTCAATCTCTAGTGTTACACATCATTTGTTACATTAGCACTGACCATAATAAAGTGAAAACATCTGCCAATACATATAGTCAATCTCTAGTGTTACACATCATTTGTTACATTAGCACTGACCATAATAAAGTGAAAACATCTGCCAATACATATAGTCAATCTCTCTAGTGTTACACATCATTTGTTACACATCATTTGTTACATTAGCACTGACCATAATAAAAAATAATAAATATATTTACAGGAAAAACTGTCTACATCACATTGTATCAAATACATCACATTGTATTATACAGGAAATGCTGATAAGATAATAAGTGGGACTTAAATGATTTATTGTTTGGAGTTTAACATACTCTCCTTATTTGGACTTTTTCTTATTATATTTCATTCTCATTATTTCATTTCTCTATTTCAATAATGCTCATTCGATTTCTAAAATACATGTAGTAAAATTTTACAAGTAAATGGTTAGATTTCCCTGACACAACCAATAACAACGGGTTATAACATCTACATGTACGTTTAAAGTTACTTCTCAATTGTGATTAATTATAAAACTGAAATCAATAAAGAGGAGCTCCTGACTAATCCATGTGGTGATCTATTGGAGGTTGTAAACATTGTCAAACATTGTGTAAAATTAAGAAAACAAAAACAAATCTGTGCTTGGTCCTCTATGAGCAGTATTATCCCCAGGACGTTCATAACAACACAGAAGTGAAGTGGTGGTCTTTCTTGAGATTTGCAAAATAAATCAAGTCGATTATTAATTCTGTCTGCATATCATAATTTTTTTCGATTTGCGATCAACTATCAACTGCAATTTGCTGGATTTTGCCATTCAACTACAAAGTGGATAACATCATCGGTTCTTACCTTGGTCTCCTTTGTCTTGCTCCCCCTACCCCCACCCTTTTATTAAACCATGGGGCCATGCAAGATTATTGAGTTTCTGGGCATGACCTTAGACACCATCAAAATGGAATCATGGCTTCCACAAAACAAGCTTGATATAATCACGGCAATAATTGAGAAATTCAGCCCTAGGAGCAGTATGTCTAGGAATTACTCAGCGTATTGGAACATGTCAAATTCACAAGTAGAACAAAAGTTCAAGGCCGGTCATTTATCTCATATCTTATCATATCTTACATTAGCAGCCTCTGCACGCAGACTGAGTCATCATGTTCACCTCACATCAGACTGTAGAAAGGACATTGTGGTATACCTTTATGGGTAAGTGGAACAGACGCTCTTCATGAGAATGTCATCCTATCTCACGACACGGCCCTATTCACAAACGCAGCGAATTGCATCAGCTTTGTGGGCTAATTTGTCGGCCAATGGCTTTTTTAAGGCCGTAGGCCAACCAGCATCTCTCTCGACAATTCTGACACATCCCTAGCTTACAAGGAACTGTACCCTATAGTCATAGCAACCACAGCTTACAAGGAACTGTACCCTATAGTAATAGCAACCACAGCTTACAAGGAACTGTACCCTATAGTCATAGCAACCATAGCTTACAAGGAACTGTACCCTAAAGTCATAGCAACCACAGCTTACAAGGAACTGTACCCTATAGTCATAGCAACCACAGCTTACAAGGAAATGTACCCTATAGTCATAGCAACCACAGCTTACAAGGAAATGTACCCTATAGTCATAGCAACCACAGCTTACAAGGAACTGTACCCTATAGTCATAGCAACCACAGCTTACAAGGAAATGTACCCTATAGTCATAGCAACCACAGCTTACAAGGAACTGTACCCTATAGTCATAGCAACCATAGCTTACAAGGAACTGTACCCTATAGTCATAGCAACCATAGCTTACAAGGAACTGTACCCTATAGTCATAGCAACCATAGCTTACAAGGAACTGTACCCTATAGTCATAGCAACCACAGCTTACAAGGAACTGTACCCTAAAGTCATAGCAACCACAGCTTACAAGGAACTGTACCCTATAGTCATAGCAACCACAGCTTACAAGGAACTGTACCCTAAAGTCATAGCAGCTATCATATGAGGCCATAGGTTGAGAGCTAAAACTCAATTGTGACAACACAGCTACAATAAACCATTTAGGGTTGGTCAAAGAGTGCTTATATCATGACTATCTTGTACAAACTCACATGATGTGCTTTCAGACAACAATTTACTATATGTGCAGTCCATCTACCAGCGTTCAAAATTGTCTTAAGCTGTTCCCACCATATAAACCTATGGAAAGTTTCCATACTTCACCGAGTCTGTAGTCATCACAAGAATTTAACAACACATTTCATGGACAGCCAAGCTAACAGCTGGACACTTTTTTGTACATATATGTGGTCATCAAAAACATGCACAGTACAGATTGAAAAGGCTGGCATACCTAACGCAATAACATAATCGGCCACCTTGAAGTACTCTACTGGAAAAATTAGCAAATGATGACAGACACAACATCAATTTTTGATTAGCAAAATTTGATGCCAGCAATATTTGCCAGTTTTTCACAAATAATGCTTCTTTCTTGTAAATAGACTAATATCAGCCATTCCAATCATTGTGCAAAATCAAAAGCAAACAAGAAACAAAGTCTAACCATTCAGTCCCCTTACAGGACATTTGGCACTTCAGCTGAATTTATCATTGTAAAACTTATTGCTAAGTTAAGGGAGGGAAGTTGTTAAGCTGTCGTGACAGCAAAGGAAATCAATCTATACAACCTTTCATCACTTAGTCCTAATAAATCACTACAGAGCTGTGTTTCATTACAACAAATGACAATTAGTTCTGTAAATCAATCCAGGTCTACAAAATCAAAACAACATGTACACTTATAAAAACAGGAGCCCATGGCCATATGTTGTACTCATAGAACAAGGTCACAAGTAATTCCTTTAATTTCGAATGGAAATGAAATAAAATCATGGCTATATTTGGCTGACATTTTACATTAAAACCTTTTTATACTGCCATCATTTATCTAGCAACATTTTGGCAATATAAAGGGGTGTATACAAGTGGCACACATAGTCATGTTAATGTCTGAATCTCCTCGACAGATCAGTCTCCTACACCTTGTGGCAGGTCATATTTCATTTCCATATATGTAAAACACATCTCCAGTGGACACTTTAGAATACCTTCAACACCATCAGCTACCAGACCTGCAACAAAATTAGCATTCCTCTTCACTGTTGCAATAGTATGACTAACGAGATTTTATACAAATGTATAGATGAATAATGAAACTGTGTTAAGGACATTGCATCAAGTACAATAGTAAATAGAATACTAATATAAATTATCATTAATCATTAAGAGACTTCAATATTTACAGAGGTAAAGCTTCACATACCAAATAGTTACAGAGGTAAAGTATCACACATCAAATATTTAGACGTTAAGCTTCACATATCAAATATTTAGCAACATGTATATCACATTTAATTATAATTGATTCACTTACCTCGATGATGACAGAATCCATTTGACCCATAATATGACTTTTGCACCAGAAAATTTGGAATGCTGCCAATTAGTGTTAGCTACGTCACATTCTTGTTTATCTTCACTTAGCAGCAGAAACATCATGTCACATTTACTGGGACATGTCAGAGTAGATACCAAGTTTTAATCGAGCTCACAGCTCTTATTTTCTGGACAGAAAGCAACATTGTGTCTTTTCTTCCACCTCCTCAGCCATCCCGGCGAAGCCTGGAATCCTAGGACATTCAGCTCGAGAGCAACATCTCGGGCCTTCGACATTAGTATCATGTTGGTCACAGACCTTCCTGACATACGCTCGTCCATAAACCATTCAAACACAAGATAGTCCAGCTCTGAGGAAGCCGCTTTACCCTTGGTCACAATACACTTCTTACTCTTGTCAGGACCATTAGACAGGAGAAGGAGATTGTCGTAATCCCTGTTCCACTCGCGCACCTGTTTCCGAGCAATGCCACAATGTCTCTCTGTTGCCGAAAAGTTGCCCCCATGTTCTCTGTGCCACTGAACCACTTCAACTTTCTCCAGTGTTGAATATCGTCTGCGCACTGTTGGCATGACGATAAAGTTTTTTTAGTGACATGAACCACTTAACCACAAACAGGCAGGTTAACGGAAGAGCTGTTCAGTGTGGCTTTATTTCTTCTGCTTAAGAAAAACATGTTTATGCCATGTGTGCCTGTTAGTTGTGTAGAAGTATAATATGTACACCTTTATAAGGAATGTCTTCTTGCAGATCTCTTTCCAAAAATAATCCTGCCTTGTTCAGATTAAGAATTCTTGATCCTTTCATTGAGAACTCAAATTAGTCAGGCTACTCTATTTATCTATATTTCAGTTTGTTTTCACACCAAAATCTCTTCAACACTAGCAAGAATTTATGACATTGTTCTAAAGCAACTTAATGCCATGTACATCTAATGCTAGGTAACTAAATCAATCCACAGACCATACCATACAATGCCTTAACAGAAATCGCTGAAACACTTTTTATTCAAACAAGAATGTATGAAAGAATATGACCGACAGAAACGGAAATAAGGTCGAGTTGTAAAGAGAAATTTCACTTTACAAGTATATTGACAGCCACATTGTAAATTACAGAACACTATATCAATTTTTCTGATACTTTTCCTCACTTTCGTTGAGGAGCTACACATTGCTGCAGTGAGATCTTACCCTAAGTTATTCTTTGGTTTTCACTAAGGACTTCAGACAGTGTTACTAAATTTGACACTCATTCCCTGGTTTTCACTAAGGACTTTAGACAGTGTTACTAAATTTGACACTCATTTTCTGGTTTTCACTAAGGACTTTAGACAGTGTTACTAAATTTGACACTCATTCCCTGGTTTTCACTAAGGACTTCAGACAGTGTTACTAAATCTGACAACCTTTCCCTGGTTTTCACTAAGGACTTCAGACAGTGTTACTAAATTTGACAACCTTTCCCTGGTTTTCACTAAGGACTTTAGACAGTGTTACTAAATTTGACACTCATTCCCTGGTTTTCACTAAGGACTTCACACAGTGTTACTAAATTTGACAACCATGCCCTGGTTTTCACTAAGGACTTCAGACAGTGTTACTAAATTTGACACTCATTCCCTGCTTTTCGCTGAGGATATTAGACGGTGTTACTAAATTTGTCACTCACCCATTCCCTGGTTTTCGCTGAGGACCTTGTTGCGGACAGTGTTACACCACATTGTATATGCTGTCAGCCTCTTTTTCTTCTTTTCTTTCTGAATGGAAAATAAATACAATAAATAAAATAAGACATCAAGATTGTCTATAACTTATAGGGTGGTGTTTAACTCCCAGGTCATGAGAGGAATCAATAAAATGTCTACATTATAACTATTTGTACATTACTGTAAGGACCAAGACATTTTAGACACCATCCATAGTACCCACACACCAAGTCTACTTTGGAACATTTACACACCATCCATAGTAACACACACCAAGTCGACTTTGGAACATTTACACACCATCCATAGTAACACACACCAAGTCGACTTTGGAACATTTACACACCATCCATAGTAACACACCAAGTTGACTTTGGAACATTTACACACCATCCATAGTAACACACACCAAGTCGACTTTGGAACATTTACACACCATCCATAGTACCCACACACCAAGTCTACTTTGGAATATCTACACACCATCCATAGTACCCACACACCAAGTCGACTTTGGAATATTTACACACCATCCATAGTAACACACACCAAGTTGACTTTGGAATATTTACACACCATCCTTAGTACCCACACACCAAGTCTACTTTGGAACATTTACACACCATCCATAGTAACACACACCAAGTCGACTTTGGAACATTTACACACTATCCATAGTAACACACACCAAGTCGTCTTTGGAACATTTACACACCATCCATAGTATCCACACACCAAGTCGACTTTGGAACATTTACACACCATCCATAGTACCCACACACCAAGTCTACTTTGGAACATTTACACACCATCCATAGTAACACACACCAAGTCGACTTTGGAACATTTACACACCATCCATAGTACCCACACACCAAGTCGACTTTGGAACATTTACACACCATCCATAGTAACACACACCAAGTCTACTTTGGAAGATTTACACACCATCCATAGTAACACACACCAAGTCGACTTTGGAACATATAGACACCATTTAGAGTACCAAACAGCAAAAGTCTACTTTGGAACAGACAGTTCCTGAGAAAATGTTATCATGTATTCAACAGCCAGAACAGATGTTTGAACACCATTCTTGAAAGGTAAAATGTTTCTGTGGTCCAAAATGGAAATGGCAACTGATGCATACAGTGAAGTAATGATCAGGCTTAGATTTCAAAATATTAAAAACTAACTGAAGACTATGGTAGATCTCAGTATTAAAAAATCCTAACACTTATCAACATTATAATATCAAATTCAAAGCATTTATTTGCAGCTGTCAGTATTTAAGTATTAAACAGGTCATATAGCACAATTAGCCTTATGATAAACAAAGCATATCTTGAAAATTTCATCATGATTCCTGAGAACACAAGACAGATTGATAGATAAAGACCATAGACAAAGATTTCAAAAACCCATAATTCTTAATACTATGTAATGGTAGATTAAAAAATTTACGAGCGGAGTTAAATTTCCTGCCTCTCTCTCCCCCTTTGCTATTACCCTGAACAGGTTCTGGAGGACTCAAGACAAGCATCATTGCATATACACTACAAAGACCTAGAGATTCTGTTTAATTCTGTATTGATTGCCAAAATTTTCCACACATTTTCAGAGGACAAATTTCAAGTACCATTGGTATTGTCAAGTATAGTATATATTTATGATTAACATAATTACCGCTGCTTTTCCACTTTTCTTTCCATCGCCTTGCTCACCATCTGAAACAAACAATCCCAAAACTTTACCTACAGAAATATAAATAACATTTTACAGAATTTTTCAAATCAAATGAGATTTTGAAACAAAAAACAATATCTGACAAAATGACTTGGTCGATATATCTGTCAATACAAAGCAGTCAATACCCACTAAATCAGCCTTGTCAATTCGTGTCAAATAAGATTTGTAAATACCTCGTCAAAAACTGCTCACACCAGTTTTCAATTATCACAAGTCAATTTTTAATCTGAATTACCTAAATATAGATATCCTCTGTACAGAGAATTTTATTCCAATGGAAATGTTACCTGCATCTGGCCCATCAGCCTTGCCCTTGCTAGGAGGTCGCTTTTTAGGAGTAGGTCGTTTTGGTGATTTCTTTCCTCTGCTTGAATCCACAGGTTTATCTTCTTCCATCTCCTCATTTCCTTTCTTTGGAAAATCTGCTATTACCAGTTTGCCATCCTGGTTTTCAAATTCCCATTCACCAGATTCATCAACATTATCAAAATCATCATCATCATCATCTAAATCATCAAGGTCATCATCGTCCTCATCATCATCCATTGGGTCCATAAGGATTGTCTTTTTAATTACTTTTTTTGTTTTTTTGTTATCAAACACATCCTCGTCTCCAACTGTCTCTGTTTGTTCCATAATATCTGTGGACAACATAATGGTAGACTCATCACCAAGAAACATAGCTTCAGACTTGACAATGCTGGTATCCATGGTATCAGGGCTTGCCTTCTGGCCTTTCTCGCCTGTATGTATAGACTGTGTGGACACTGTAGGACTAGAAAACTGAGTGGGAGTGTTCAATAACATTTTTATTACACTTCCACTTTGTCCAGCTATGGCAGGTGGGATTCGTATCCCTGTTTCAATGAGTGAGGGATCCATCGAAGGGGGTGATGCTTTCACTGTTTTTTTCACATTTTTTCCTGGAGATATTGGCTCAGTCTTTACAGTTATAGAGCTATCTGACCCAGACTGCAAGATACCACTCTCTTTATCTTCAATTATGGCCTCATCAACATCCATCATTTCCTGTTGTTTCAGTTTCTTAGCTTTCGGGGTAGTTTTTCCCTTTTTGGAACCAGAAACAATTGGGGACACTGGAGCAATCAAAGACGGAGTAGGTAATGTGCCCACATCGTCTTTTTTCTTTTTCCCTTTTTTAGAAGAGTTTCCTAGCTTTGATGGTGGAAAGGGTGGAAGGTTTGCTAACACAGGATCAATTTTTCCTGAAATGGCCGGTTTTGATGAAGTTCCAAGTTTTGAAGGAGGAAATGGTGGGAGATTAGCTAACGCTGGATCCATTTTTCCCGGAATAGCAGGTTGTGACAAAGCTTGTGGTGGTATACTGGTGTCCAACATCTGTTCTGCAGGCTCCATCTTGACAGCGGTCAGTTTGCCAACCTCTGCAGCTACTCCTTGAGTCAGACCAGTCAGTGTGACAGCTGCTAGGCCTGTGTCCACTGTCTTCCCAACACCACCTACTTGAGCACTTTTCCGAGCAGCAGGTGACTTTTGATTGCTTTTTGTTTCCGGAACCTTTTTAGTGGTTGTTTTTATTCTCTCTGCCTCTTCAAATGCTTCCATTTCTAGAACTTTGGTGGACTTTTTCCTCACCTAAATATTGAAGCATGAAAGTATGAATAAATAGCTGATCTGATCTAGAACTCCATGTTTATGGCGGTTCTTAATAAACAAAAATAAAACCATTACACCAGTAAACGGTAAATTCTATTTACTTTACAGTAAACTATCAAGGCTAATCCAGTTGAACATCCACCCTAGGGTTCCAGGTTTAACAGCAATGCTTCCCAAACAATTTGGTATTTACCTGAAAATATTAATTTAATCATCATGCCCTACTTCCTTTTTCATTTAGGAATATAAGGTATATTATGATGAAAATAGACGAGATATTTCAATGACATCTAAAAATAACAAGTTATGTTATTTGCTAATATTTGACTTATTAGATCATATCATTTTGGTCCTTGTCAGGCGTGGTAATGTACAAGTAACGCAACATAGACGTCATAACTTAATATGACCTTTCACTCACCATTTTATCACCATATATATATTGATTTTTATCGAGAACTTACCCGTCCGGACTTATTGTCTGAATCCATGCTCTGTGCTGTTTGACCTTTGACAGTGACAGGTGATTGTTCATGAACAGGGGAGATAACTGGTGCTTGGATCACAACTGGCAGAGAAGCAGGTGCAACTGGGGGCACAGACACCAGATGTGGTGACACAACTAACGGGTTAGTCTCTACACCTGCTCCTGACAGGCCTTGATTCTGTACCATAATAACACCTGGTGATTTTGAGATGACTGTTTTAGGTTTTGGCACTTTTGCTGGACTGGACACTATGTCTGGTTTCAGAACGAATGGCACTGAGGCCACTCCTTTAGCATGTAAAACCGATTTAACAGGAACTGGGCTGACATTTCCGGCACTTTTTGGCGTCTTTCCTATTTCTCCCTCTTCATCTGAATCCTCTTCCGTGTCTTTGAATCTAGCAGGTTTCTTTCTTACCCTACCAGATCTTTTTACTGCAGTAAAAAAAAAAAAAAGTTTCCATTTATGATTGCTATGTATACTACATCAGAAAAAACTTTTCCATGAGACCCAGCATATTCGGCTAAAATATAAGATAGTTTTGTTTCCTATCTAATCAACACCTTATTTTAAGCTGCAGGTACATTGTCTAAATGAAAAACCCGTTTTGACTTGAGAAAAACTTAACAAGACAATTGATATTGAGTTTTCAAAAATGGGGACAATCTAGCTATGTAATGTTTTGAAAAGTTTATTGACCATTTCTGTTTTCAAGAGCCAAAACACTGGCAATTATAAATTAATATTTCATGATAGTGACAGTTTTAAGACATGATATACGCCTGTGTACCTAATTAGTGTCTTTGGAATAACGATTGTCCTGTGAGGTTTTGCATGCCCCGGATTTTGTTTAATATTTTTTATTTGCTTTTCTTTCCTTTGAATCGTAAACTCAATATAGATATATAGTCGACCCACAACACTCCCGTCAAAATTTCTTGTAAAAATCACAAGTTTCCCAAAATAAATCGTTTCGCTAGGTTGACGGAGTTACTTACCTTGATTATAATATTACGAGTTCATGACGAGACAAGGGCTATGCTGTAGTCGATATGGTGAAACATGTTTTCACTTTCCGACCATAAATTGGCAATCAAGTGTTACTAGAATGTATTTTAAATGTACCCTTGATAAACCAAGCATTGAGCTCTGCTATAATTACAGGTCTATGTCGGGAGTGTTGGTGGAGAGGGGAGGGGGGGGGTAATGCACATTGGCCTCAATTTTTTTAAGAATGTACTTTAATATTACCTTCTTCCGACAATTTTGCAGCTTTACTTGGGGTGGAGAACGTTTCTATATCATCGTCGAGCTTGCGTTTGCTAGCCATTATGCCAGCCGTCTTCAAAACTTGTTAATTTCGAGTCTGTTTACATCTCGCTTCCGAAACTGCCATTGTTTCGCGCGCAGTGCATTATGCTGCTGTCGACTTCCGGTAAAAAATTAAGACAGAGTGCCCCGCTGAATATCTTACTTATATGTCTGAATAACACAGTTAATAACACCTTAACATTGATGATGAATATACCAAAAAGCCTAATTTGATCAATAAGATACACATTTAGAGAAAGGTTTCGATGATGTCAAACTTCGACAAAGCTTTTCCAGGACATGTATTATTATGAGCAGGATTTTGTAACAACGTGAATCAGGCAATATATAGTATACGTCCCTGGTCCTTGAATGCATTTCAACCATTAATGCAATGTGTTTTGTTATATGTACTTGAATTATTAAAGGGTTTAGCCATGAAGTGACGTATACGAAAACTTCGATTTGTTTCTTGTTGATGTGTAACAGAAATCAACATTCATTATTTAAATCCGAGACGTCTCTGTTTAAATGCCTCTGATAGCATTCGAATTTAACCGGGATCCTTAGGAAATTAGACGTCCTCCAGTTTTCAGAGGTCACAGTGATACTAAACGGGTATGTCTAAGTCATATTCTTGCGTGCCTACGCTGTCACTAATATAACAGAGGTCTGGGCATTATTTATTTCACTGTAACAGTCAGGATTCGAACCAGCAGCCCCTCGGGGATGAACAGTGAACATAAGCAATCCAGAAAAATGCTGTGGGTGAAGACATACTAACAAAGACAGTGCATATTTTGCATGCTTTCAGCAGTTGAAACACTTCATAGATGTTTTTGGGTGAATGGAGAGCTCAAAGGAACCTACAAAACATCGACAGCAATAGTATGTCACCAGCTAAAGGCAGGTACGTATAATACGTCGCTGGTAAAGGTGATGGAGGTCAAGAAAGGAAATAGGGGTATAGTAAAAATGTTACATTGGATAGTCACGCTGAGATATTTTGTAGGGAGCTAGGATAATACATATTGTTAAATGGATGCGAATCTTTTAAAATGATGGAATAGCGCAAAAGATATCAACACAAAAGAGTAATACAGAATGTGGCGTATTGTTGTGATGTCACTGGTTTCATATTTCGGTCAATCTTGGAGTTTTTATCACTCATCTTACTGGTTTCTTTTTCAGGTTAAATGATGGAGGGTAAATATAATGTGAACACTACCAGACGTTACCTGTTCAGCGGGGCATTGCCAAGCCATAATTATCATTCCCAGTCGTGTATTAATGTAACCTCTTTAATATCATCGTTTCCGCTTCCGTTTAAAGGTAACTAGTGACGCCATTTTCAAGACACGAAAAGTGAGATGAAATGGGTTCTGGAGCCAGTAACCAAACCGTTGGTGTCCCAGCCAATCCTCGGGTTATCTACTCTGATGCTTTAGGGAAAAGGGAACGGAAGGTACAAACAGATCTAAATATTTTTAGTTAAACTATATCGAACATAACGAACTATAGAGATACCATGATAATTACTTGAGTAGCCAAACATTCATGTAAAATACTAATTTTATATGGTTTTGTAGGTTATACGTGATCAAACGTGACTAAGAAAAGAAATGATGTTCCGAATCATGGAGTCACACGTGCACGCAATGTGTGACACAGTAAAAACAACAACAGCAAAAGCAAACAGCACATCAGTGACAAATGTAACGATAGATTCAAACAGAAACAACAAAATCACTGTTGCATTATTTACGTGTCAACAACATGCTAAAATATGGAAATAGGAATATGTATACTATACACTTAACAGCGTTAAACAACAACTTTTGATCTGTAAATGTTGAAGGTCACTTACTTCACTATTACAATATTATGTTGCTGTCATTAAAACTAATATCACTACTGAGTCTGACCCTGGTCAGGCACTTAAGCAGCCTCATTCCTGGTATCAGTTCACAGTCTGTGTGATGCACAGCCTGATTGAACTACCCAGTCTCCTCCTTATATCGTTGTACAGCCAGAATGAATGGTTCTTCCTCTGGCATTTATTTCCCAACACTTTGATATAATTACCTGCATGTCAATATGACTTCATACACAATATATGGATAAACTGCATAGTTGTGTAACCATGTTAAATACTTGCCACAATATACTGCTCAGTTAGAGAAAACTTCTCTTTATGTTGATCGGTTGAGTGTCAGAATAGTAAGCCAGAAGTCCCAGGTTCAAATCCAAGCAGAGGCATAGAAATACTAATCTCTTTTACATTGGTGCCCACATATAGACTTAGGAATAAATACTTAGCATTGTCCCACAGATATCGCTGTAACCCTTGGAAACACAAGGATGAGTTCTTTTCCTGCAGGGGAAGTATGTTACCCTTGTAAATACTAGTCACACTATACAGTTCACCAAAAGAGAACTCCGAAATCGCTTGATAAATTGCATGTCAGATGAGGGTCTGGGTTCAAATCATAGCAGAGACATTGAAATAGATAATGACCTCTGTTACAGAAGTGACTGCCCTTGTTATGTTATGGTCCTTTTTTTACTGGAGATGGACAATTAACCACTTATAATATGTTTTCATGTAAATTCTTGCAGCGTCTGCGTATTGATGCTCCTGTCCTTGTAGACGTAGAACATGGCTCTGTCCGCTATAGATACGGAAACAAAGAATCAACAGAGAATGCTGACCCCCATAAAACCAAGGGTAAACCATTCGAGGGCACAAATCGGATCAACAAAGACCACTATTTCTATCATGCCAGACTCAACGACTTCAGCGAAAGTAAATAATGTCAATAGGAAATTATGTACACAAAAGGAGATATATATTATTATAGATACTATAGATACTAATTTGAAACTTTAGCTACATCATATGTCTACATTCTGTAGTTACATGTAACAAAACATGAAAAAGCACGCTTTATTTATCCTATAATGAATATTTATTGAAACCAATTTAAATGGAAGTAAAATTTGTTTCAGCATTCAAATTTGTTCTTGAAAGTTTGCTATCAATTTTCTGTAATATTATGAATATGATTTTCTTGAGAATTCCTGTTTAATCACATTTTTAACAGAGGGTTCTCGTGAAAAGGAAGATGACTTCAAGTTTATGTATGTGCAAAAAGGCCCAAATCGGGCCAAGGAGAAAAAGCTGTTTTATGTGTATGGAAAAGGATGGAATGCTATGGATGGACAAAGACGCTTGCCCTCGGAAACGAAACAGGAAGGAAGAGACTTTGCTTGGCCATTGGAGACAAGAATTCCTAATGATGTCTACTACAACCTGTCCTTTACCTTACAGGGTCAGTAAATATGAGGTTTAGTTATAGAACAGAGATCACTCATGGGTTCCTTAGGTTGCCAATGTCATAGCTGAAAATCTTCTTTAAATACTGTATGAAAATACAGGATGGATCTTTCTCAAATCTCATATGTAGGTTCCCCTTGGTCCGTATTTGTGCCTGTTTGATTTGGAGTCGGATTGAAAAATAAAATGTCAGAGAGGCAGCCATCTTGGATTTCGCTGAGTATAGTTTGTTATCCTATTTCATAAGAAGTATTGAATGGATCTCCCTCAAATTTCATATGTAGGTTTTCCTATGTCCAAAGTTGTACCCATTTGATTTTGGGTCGGATCAGAAAGACAAAATGGTCAACAGGCAGCCATCTTGGATTTTCACTTTGAGAAGTAATGTATAGATCTTTCACAAATTTCAAGTGTAGAGGCCCTTTGGTTCCAGGTTGCTCCCTTTTGATTTCGGGACTGATCAGAGAAACAAAATGGTTGATTTTGACTTTTAAAGTTTGTTATCGCTACTTCTTGAGAAATACTGCATCAGTATTTGTCAGATTTCATGTATAGGTTCCTCTTTGTCCCTAGTTGTTTCTGGGTGAGATTGGGACTGATCAGAAAAACAAAATGGCCAACAGGCATCCATCTTGGATTTGGCCAGGTAAAGACTGTTATCTCTATTTCTTAAAAAAGCATTGAATGAATCTCAATCAAATTTCATATGTATCTTCCTTTCTGGATACTCCAGTTGTACTTCACATTGTCTATTTCCATTATCCTAGATGACTACTGTAATGATGTTGGTACAGTAGCATGCTGGAATAAATGGCTGATAAGTTTGTTCAAATAAATGACCTTCATCCATTTCCAGGATTGAGAAGATTAGATATGTTAAGATTTAAAAGAACTTTTTATAAATAACTAAGAGGCCCGAAAGATACTGGAACTTCATGAACTAAGTCTTTTTTATGCCACAGAACAAGTAAGTGATACAGGCCTCTTGTTTCACCTATACAGTATCAAGCTATGTGATTATAAACCTATTCAGATGTTTCATTTCAGTCTATATACAAAAATGACACATGTTGAATATTGATATGGAGTGGAAATTATCAACATTAAATTTTGTTTCTTCTAAAATTGATTTACAGATGCTGAGATTGAGGACACACCAGAGGATAGACTTGTGGTTGACCTATCATCCACTGCCAACAAGCAGACAATAGAGTGAGTAGTTCTAGACTTGTGGTAGATCTACCAACCACTGCCAACAAGCAGACAATAGAGTGAGTAGTTCTAGACTTGTGGTAGATCTACCAACCACTGCCAACAAGCAGACAATCGAGCGAGTAGTTCTAGACTTGTGGTAGATCTACCAACCACTGCCAACAAGCAGACAATCGAGTGAGTAGTTCTAGACTTGTGGTAGATCTACCAACCACTGCCAACAAGCAGACAATCGAGTGAGTAGTTCTAGACTTGTGGTAGATCTACCAACCACTGCCAACAAGCAGACAATAGAGTGAGTAGTTCTAGACTTGTGGTAGATCTACCAACCACTGCCAACAAGCAGACAATCGAGCGAGTAGTTCTAGACTTGTGGTAGATCTACCAACCACTGCCAACAAGCAGACAATCGAGTGAGTAGTTCTAGACTTGTGGTAGATCTACCAACCACTGCCAACAAGCAGACAATAGAGTGAGTAGTTCTAGACTTGTGGTAGATCTACCAACCACTGCCAACAAGCAGACAATAGAGTGAGTAGTTCTAGACTTGTGGTAGATCTACCAACCACTGCCAACAAGCAGGCAATAGAGTGAGTAGTTCTAGACTTGTGGTAGATCATCCACTGATGATTTTCTGTGTGTATCATCAATTGGCTGTATGCGTTTCTGGGTAGGTTTGTGTGTGTATTGAAAATTCTGTGAAGGTTTGTGTACATGTATTAAGAATTCTGTGTAGGTTTGTATGGATTAAAAATGAATTGTAGATTTGTGTATATTGAAAATTTTGTGAAGGTTTGTGTGCATTGAAAATTCTGTGTAAGTTTGTGTGCATTGAAAATTCTGTGTAGGTTTGTGTGTTATGAAAATGATCTGTAGGTTTGTGTGTTATGAAAATGATGTATAGGTTTGCGTAAATTTATTTTGTATTTTTTATATGCAGACTCACACTGACAGATGCAGATACAGCAAAAGATATACAGAAAAAGATAGCTTACAAGATTTTGAAGTCTGCCAATAGTATTCACATCTGTCATAAAGGAAAAGAACTCAGGTAGTATGCCAGTTCAGTAAAAATGAAATAAATGTAATTCAAAGAAATGTGATTTTGCTCCTGGCAGGATATCGTGTTTTTTGGTTTGCTATGTTTGGTTTATTTTCCATATTCAAATTGCCCTACGTCCATAATCTGTTGTCGTTCCAAACAGGAAGACATCTTTGATTTTGACTTTGCAAGTTTGTTATAGCTATTTCTTGAGAAATACTGCATAAATCTTTCTCAAATCTTGTGTGTTTGTTTTCCATGATCTCTAGTTGTGCTTGTTTGATTTTTGTACTGATCAGAAAAACAAAATGGCCGACAGGCAGACATCTTTGATTTTGACTCTGCAAGTTTGTTATAGCTATTTCTTGAGAAATACTGCATAAATCTTTCTCAAATCTTGTGTGTTTGTTTTCCATGATCTCTAGTTGTGCTTGTTTGATTTTTGTACTGATCAGAAAAACAAAATGGCCGACAGGCAGACATCTTGTATTTTGACTTTGCAAGTTTGATATCGCTATTTCTTGAGAAATACTGCATAAATCTTTCTCAAGTTTCAGGTATAGGTTCCTCTTGGTCCCTAGTTGAGCCTGTCTGATTTTGGGACTGATTAAAAATTAAAATGGCTAACAGGCAGCCATCTTGGATGTCACCTGGTAAAGATTGTTATCCCTATTTCTTAAGAAGCACTGAACGGATCTCTCTCAAATTTCATAAGTTTGTTCCATTTGGTCTCTACTTCTGTCTGTTTGATTTTGGGACTGATCAGCAAGACAAAATGGCTTTCAGGAGACCATCTAGTATTTGACAGGAAAAGATATCATTGCTATTTTTGCAAAGGAATGTTGAAATTTCTTAACATTAAGAGCAAAAACAGAGAAGAGAAGAAAAAGATCAAACTTTCTTAGTGCAAATAAAGATCAAACAAGGGTGGGTGCCAAGACCCCTCTGTAATCTCTTGTTTTTACTTACCATCTAATCATCCTCAGCCTTCGTCCTATTTCAGTCCATCAATTGTCCATCGTCAATTTGCCCTCAAGACAATTTTTGTTATCTATATACTTAAGATTAAGTGGATTCACCATTCTCAAACTTCATTTATGCATGCAATTCTTTTAGAGTGATCAGAAAAACAAAATGGCTGACACTGCCATTTTGGATTTTGAAAGTGAAATTTTCTTTTCCATATTTCATAAGAAGTATGCAGTCTGAATGATTCTCGACTATTCCTTTTCTCCCCTAGTGGCTATGTGTATATCTACCTTTGTATGTTTGAAATGGCCATGAGGCAGCCATCTGAATTTGAATTTGACACTGTACAGTTTATAAACTTTATCTATCTTAAAACAATTGCAAAACAAGAAATCAGCTTAATAAATCACTCTTCCTGGCCGTTATTGAAATGTGTCTAGTGTCTTACCATCCTCTTGGACTTTATATCTACCTGTATATTTACCTGTGTATTTATCTACCTGTACCTTTATATCTACCTGTATATTTACCTGTGTATTTATCTACCTGTAACTTTATATTTACCTGTAAAGTTAGTATCTGTGTAATTACCTGTATTTACCTTTATTTTTATCTTTTTCACCTGTATTTCCAGAGATGAGGATGTAATTGGTGACCTGAGAGAATCAGAAGAAGGCAGCTGGACAGTGTTCAAAGTGAAAATGCATCTGTTCTAATGTTGTTGACACTCATGTAAACAACTGGTCTCAAGATACACTTGGTAAATGTTGAAATCTGCTGACAAATATTATATCTTCTAAAGAAGCAAAAGACTGGTGGTCATAATGTTTGACCTGAGATGCAGGGCCATGAATAGATGACCTTGACCTGCTTTTAAGGTTACATATATTTAATTCTGAATGGCCAAGAAATCTAATTTACTCTTTCACCAGTAAGATACTGGAAGGCAGTGGTTTAGATTGGTATCTAGCTGCAAAACAGGTGAGCGATACGGGCTGAATTGGCCTTTTGTGTTAGCGACACCTAATAAAGTTTAGCTCATCAGTTACAAATGACCATGAGATACTATAGATTCCCCCAGTATCAACAATTTAATGTTTAAAACATTAGTAAAAGTTTTCAATTTTAAAATCAGTTTTGAACACAATCTGTTTTTCGTCAAATCTTGCCTTAAAGTTTTGATGTACAATTTTTTGGTGGCTCTTCAGCAAAAGAGAATTACTTAAATTTTTTTCAAATATATGTCATTGTGAAATTCTTTGTTACTGGCATTTGTTTTATGATAATAATGAAACAATATTTTTATCATTTTACTGCCAGTTACAATTTGTAGACAAACAAATATTTTAATGCTCCAATAAAGTATTCCTGTTTTCAACAGAAATCTGTGCTATTTGGAGTGGTTTCACCCGAGTCCTAATTTTGTAATTTCAACATTTTACTATTCTCATTAACAGAATACTGTTGTACTACTGTTGATTATTATATGAATATCTACAAAACATTGTCCTTACAGACTTCTAATATATTAATGTTGGATGATTGTTATTAGTGATGTTTTTTCATTTTTCTCAATTTTGAGTCTATTTCTACCTCCGAGGTATTAAATGAAAACTTCTGCACTTCTACAGCGACCAACCCCTTGAAACCATCCTCAGTACTACAGGAGTTGCAATCACTTTCACTCTCTGCACCCCTGGAACAATCCTCGATACTCCGGGGGTTACAATCACTTTCACTCTCTGTACCCCTGGAACCACCCTCAGTACTAGAGGGGTTACGATCACTTTCACTCTCTGTACCCTTGGAACCATCCTCTCTAGAGGGGTTGATCACTTTCACTCTCTGCACCCCTGGAACCACCCTCAGTACTAGAGGGGTTACGATCACTTTCACTCTCTGTACCCCTGGAACCATCCTCAGTACTAGAGGGGTTACGATCACTTTCACTCTCTCTGAACCACCCTCAGTACTAGAGGGGTTACGATCACTTTCACTCTCTGTACCCCTGGAACCATCCTCAGTACTAGAGGGGTTACGATCACTTTCACTCTCTGTACCCCTGGAACCACCCTCAGTACTAGAGGGGTTACGATCACTTTCACTCTCTGTACCCCTGGAACCATCCTCAGTACTAGAGGGGTTACGATCACTTTCACTCTCTGTACCCCTGGAACCACCCTCCTAGAGGGGTTACGATCACTTTCACTCTCTGTACCCCTGGAACCATCCTCAGTACTAGAGGGGTTACGATCACTTTCACTCTCTGCACCCCTGGAACCATCCTCAGTACTAGAGGGGTTACGATCACTTTCACTCTCTGCACCCCTGGAACCATCCTCAGTACTAGAGGGGTTACGATCACTTTCACTCTCTGCACCCCTGGAACCATCCTCAGTACTACTGGGGTTACGATCACTTTCACTCTCTGTACCCCTGTAACCATCCTCAGTACTACTGGGGTTACGATCACTTTCACTCTCTGTACCCCTGTAACCATCCTCAGTACTACTGGGGTTACGATCACTTTCACTCTCTGTACCCCTGTAACCATCCTCAGTACTACAGGGGTTATGATCACTTTCACTCTCTGAAACATGTGTGATCCTTTGATGTACATCAACTGAATCTCTAGGTCACATACCCGATATTGTAATGGCTTTGAAGTTGGATGCCACTCCTTTGTAATCTTTAAAAGGAGCATATCAGTCTGTGATTGGTCAGTTTTTTTCTCCTGAAACCAATCAACTTGCTTTGCTTGTGCCTTCAATTTTGCCACGACATATTTCAGGGGTGTAGAGAGTGAACATAATCCTGGAGTATTATTGATGGTAGAGGCCATATCACAACTCTATTGACTAATTTTGTTTCATAATGCAAAAAAAATGTTTTAAAAATAGTATATTTCTTTGATTGTCTATTTTATACTCCTTTATATTCCCAAAGAACTCTACTTCAGAAGTCTTGTTACTGATGTTCGTTTTTCAATTATCTGATGTAATATTTACTATTATGGCCACAGAACTGTTTGTTATAAACAAGATGATTTTATAGATAAAAATGCTTACATGACTTTTAAGATAAAAGTTAAATGGATTTTCCAGATTATTGCACAAAAGAGTGAGTGTAGATTAATGAGGGCCTGTATATACCTTGAATTTTCAAATTAACACGATTTTTGTACTGTCATTGGGGGCCTTGTTTCATTATTCTCTTGATAGCAGATACATAGAGAAACACAGGAAGGATCCTCAATGTTCGTATCTCTTTTACTGGAAAAAAAACATAATCTGACCTTTTTTTGTAAATAGTCATATTACCACAGTAAACAATGAAAATATGTTATTTTGTAGTGATATAAAAAATGGTTGCCACACCAGTGATTTCCCCATAGTTTTGATGTATCACATTAAAAATTGTGTACAAAGTAGGAAGCATGCTGGACATGTACAGAGGTGATAGTGATTATTTGTTAATAATAAAAATATCAATTGTTTATCTTGAGGTAATTATTGCAGAACTGTAATCTTTAATCAACACAAGGGGGTGGAGGCACAACGTCCCACAATTGAAAAGTTCAATTATTTCTCCCTGGGGCTGCCAATGATACCGAAAGGTATACAAGAGTCCTCACTAGTTCTTCCTTAGTAAAATGTGTATCAAGAGTAATGGAGCTGCTCGTGTTGTCATCACTCTTGACACGCATGTAATCTTAATGTTATATTCATACCCATATAAGTACTGGTATAAAAAAAAATACTACATAAGTGACTGTTATCCAATGATGGCTTTCTTTTCCTACCCGTAAAACCGATCATAATCAAATTATATCACATTTCTATTTTTAGATACATTCCATGGAAATATAAACCTATATTGGTTGATGTACTGTATGCTTCACATATTTCTAAATCTTTTCTTCATAACACAGATTCATTCTTTGAAATCTGACCTCTGAGTATTCAGAACCCTAGTTTGATATGAAAAGCGACATCCTGTCTAATGTGACCTCTGTCCAATCTGACACCCCGAGACCTAGGTCATCCTTGACCTGTCTATTCTGATCTAGCTGAATGACATTAAAAGTCCTTGAAATATTGACCTCTCACTCTCTAGCAGGACATCTTTAATTTTGCAGTCATTGATTACACTCAGTTCTATTGTTGTGTATTTGTGAAACTTTATGGTAGAAATTATACAGAATTTCTATGCAGTATTTTTTGTGTACTGATATATTTACTTTACTAGGAAGCTGGGCTTCAAATGTATGTTACACTTATGATATGAAATTCAACTCTTATTACTAATAAACTGAAGAAATTAATTTTTGTTGTTGTTTTACATTAGACAGGTGTGGGTTGTTTATCTATTTACTTATATGGTTTCCATCTGTTGGTATGTCTGTTTGTCCTTCAGTCTGTCCGACCTAGGTGGGGTTTCCGGGGTTATATCGGAATGCCTTACAGATACATGTAAAACACTAAATTTTGGTATGTCACTTTATAAAACAGATCTTGATAAGAGTATCCCAGACAGGATGAGTAGCATAACATTATTGTTTAAATAATTACTATATAAAATATATGGGTGGATCTCAAACCTGTGGGGAAAAATGGACTACTTTGTCAAACCTTGAAATGTGCCTGGATTTTGAGAATTGGCAAGGTTGCTGGTCGGAATTCGTTAAATATCTTCGTGAGCTGAATAAATGATGTGATATTTATCGAGACCTGATCCAATTCCAGTGTACTGTTTATAGCACGTGCCTGATCGGTAAGACACCCCTAGCCTGTCGGTAGTCACTGGTCACGCTAGAGTGTATATCACCATATATTTCGTTAAGAGTGACTTGTATAGAAACAGATTCATTTTCTCTCGTTGGAAAATATGAAATGACTCTGCCAGTAGTATTTTCGTTGTCTGATCTCCTTTCATCAGTGGTGTCGACCATTTTTGTACTCCCAATACCTATCAACTTCAGGAGGAACGGAACATGGGTACCGAAGATGACACAGACTTTAGTATTTTGGGAAGTTCACAAGCTCCGACTAACTGATAACAAACAACAACATTCTTTCTGATGTTTGATATCTACATATCACCAAACAAAAGATAGCATTATTCTGTTCTGGTCCACAAACACACGGTACGTACACAAGGCTTCGGTCTCATTTCGTTAGTTTCACGATTTCGTGGAGATGCGAGACGTTACTGTATGTAACAGAAAGGGGTCATACTCGGATATTTTACCTAAAATTACTTAAAATGACAGAAGTCGCGTCTCATTCTGATGACAGAGGTAACTACAGTCATTTATATCCAGAAACGGTGATCGAAGTCCGTGCTGCAATCATTGTATCTATGCGAAAAAAATGGCAGACCTAGTTATTGGAGATTTCATCGACAACAAATCAAAAAAAGTAAACTGAATGTAAGCCCAGGACAACTAAAGTCCCATGTCGGCCACTCCTCCTTCCGGCCTATAGACACGCAAACAGGTAACAAGAAATTCATGGTGCGTTCGAAAGGGATTTATTTTTCGTGGTTGGGCGACTTGATAGCCCGCCAAGAGCACAGTCCTCAGAAATAATCAACTTCGCATTCCACATTTTGTCAAACGTTGTGTCGTCACTATTGTACTTTCGGATTCGCAGTCAGTCGTTATATAAATATGAAAAGACAATTATAATTCTTGCAGTAATCATTTGTTCATACCATTTTGTCAATTCTGTTATTTGGGGATTTACAACATGGATGACGTGTCCTCTCGTCAGTCGTCGCCGTATAGATGACAACGCTTTTATCAGCACATTGCTATGAAATATTGAATTTATTATTATTATTATTATTATTTCAGTATTTTACGTCGCATAAAACTCGCGAAGTCTCGTTTCATAAGGAACTAACTTGCCGAACAATCTATATAGACACTTGATGTTTGACATTAAAATGTAACAGTTGACCTTTATGTTAAGTTCACCAGTGGGAAGAGATATCTTTTGTTTGTTCCCGAAATCCTTTATACTTTCATCCCCGATATTCCAAGGGTTACAATCACTCAAACTCTCCGCTTGGAACATGTCATGGCAAAACTTAAGACACCAGCGAAGTAATTTGATTGGTTCCAGGAAAAACAACTGACCAATCACAGGCTGATACCAACAAAGGAAGCGAAACCCAACTTCGAAGCCATCACAATATACCGCTATGCGACCCCGAGATTCGTTTGATGTACATCAAAGGATCAAACTAGTCTTTTCGTCTTCTCTACAAGATGTCAGACATGGAACTTCAGTTTTGCCATGACATGTTCTAGGGGTACAGAGAGTGAAGGTGATCGTAATCCCTGGAGTGTCGAGGATGTCACACTTTATGAAACTGTATTTCAATAGAAATGTCGACTGGTGTTCTGATCCAGCCTATCTATACCGAAGGTGGGTTTTGGCTGAAACAATTTAGCATTTGTGTGATACCATGACAACGTCAATATAGACACGGGTACGTGATTGACTACAAGTCCCTTGTACTAGTGAAGGCCGAGATAAGAACGCCAGAGAAAGTACTGTAATGGGAACCATTAGCGACAGTTCCCGGATCCCCAGTCATGTGACGTACCCATACCATGTCTCCCACGTCAAGTGAAAGTACTATTACTCTCGAGCCTTCGTTAAGACTCTTTGTGGCATATATCTGACCAACGTTAGCACCATTTTTTACAAATTCCAGTAGCATGTCGTCTTGTGTTGGTCCTGCACTCAGAACCGTGGCAGACAGTAAGTAAAGCCCTGCCACTGGAGCCGTGAAGTGACCGTCCCTTGGTTCATACCCTTGTCCCATGTTTGTATATACATGGTCGAACTGGACATCTTGTTGGTCTCCTAATGCTATGTCCGGAGCGAGGGCTGCGTAGAACCCTACAGCGTTCTCAGTGTTTCCTGTAACATTCACAGGAATTTCATTGCGATTAAAATATCACATCAATATTTGTACAAGAGGATTTCATAAATCTTATGTTTAACAACGGTCGTGATGTTAAAAACAGGCAAAGCTTTGATAAAGCGGCATTTCTACGTTTTCAGGAAAATTCTCAAAAGATCGTTATAATATTCTTGATGCGTGAAAAATGGTTTTCTTGAATTCATATACATTCTTATTTCAGGAACGTTCAGTTTGGTAAAATAAATTCGATCACTCTAAACACTAATTATTGATTAAGAAGATAAACATGATCAGTAAGTAAATATACTTAGTATGGTTGGTGTGTTGCCATTTTCTAAGAACAAAGACAGGCGTGACTTTAGAAAGACAAAGATAAATAAGTTATTTCTCTAAATAAAACCCCGTATATATTGTATGATAAAATAAAATCCCATAGAAGCTGGCGTTGCCAGGCCAGGAACTCGGCATTGGAACTTTTCAGTTAGAACTTGTATCTTTAATTTCTCTGTCTTCTACAATTGTCTTATATGCTTACCTACACGCTTTTCCAACTCTTTGTCTGTGAAATCTGTGAAGTAGATAAATGATTGTCCTTTGAACCAATTAGAGACTTCAGTCCTGTATCACTTCATATTTATAGACGTCCGTCACCGTCCCATTACAAGATCATGACGTCACAATTCTCTTGCTAACCACCATTCCATGTTTCGGCTATTTTAATTGCTGGATTTACACCGTCGTATTTATAAATAAGATAAGGTTTTTCTCCAATATAGAGGAAAACAAGACAATACCAACATGTCAACACAATTATAATCCAAACTAGCGCAAATTATGAACGAAAGAAAAATTTAATATGGAGGTTATAACCATTATAATAAGACAGGGTGTTCTGGAAAGTAAGCGTCTTCTGCTTCATTGACGACACCCGCCATGTAAACCTTGGTCAATCCAAGTGAGGAAAGTAACGTTCTCGAACGAGAACAAGTTATGCAAGCGCGGAACCAACATATAAACTTACGGGCATCAAACACATACAGCTTCATATCGTACAATGGAACCAACATATAAACTTACGGCCATCAAACACATACAGCTTCATATCGCACAATGGAACCAACATATAAACTTACGAGCATCAAACACATACAGCTTCATATCGTACAATGGAACCAACATATAAACTTACGGGCATCAAACACATACAGCTTCATATCGTACAATGGAACCAACATATAAACTTACGAGCATCAAACACATACAGCTTCATATCGTACAATGGAACCAACATATAAACTTACGAGCATCAAACACATACAGCTTCATATCGTACAATGGAACCAACATATAAACTTACGGCCATCAAACACATAAAGCTTCATATCGCACAATGGAACCAACATATAAACTTACGAGCATCAAACACATACAGCTTCATATCGCACAATGGAACCAACATATAAACTTACGGCCATCAAACACATACAGCTTCATATTGTACAATGGAACCAACATATAAACTTACGGCCATCAAACACATACAGCTTCATATCGCACAATGGAACCAACATATAAACTTACGAGCATCAAACACATAAAGCTTCATATCGCACAATGGAACCAACATATAAACTTACGGCCATCAAACACATACAGCTTCATATTGTACAATGGAACCAACATATAAACTTACGGCCATCAAACACATACAGCTTCATATCGCACAATGGAACCAACATATAAACTTACGAGCATCAAACACATACAGCTTCATATCGTACAATGGAACCAACATATAAACTTACGGCCATCAAACACATACAGCTTCATATCGCACAATGGAACCAACATATAAACTTACGAGCATCAAACACATACAGCTTCATATCGCACAATGGAACCAACATATAAACTTACGAGCATCAAACACATACAGCTTCATATTGCACAAAGGAACCAACATATAAACTTACGAGCATCAAACACATACAGCTTCATATCGCGCAATGGAACCAACATATAAACTTACGAGCATCAAACACATACAGCTTCATATTGCACAATGGAACCAACATATAAACTTACGAGCATCAAACACATACAGCTTCATATCGCACAATGGAACCAACATATAAACTTACGAGCATCAAACACATACAGCTTCATATCGCGCAATGGAACCAACATATAAATTTACGGCCATCAAACACATACAGCTTCATATCGCACAATGGAACCAACATATAAATTTACGGCCATCAAACACATACAGCTTCATATCGCACAATGGAACCAACATATAAACTTACGGCCATCAAACACATACAGCTTCATATCGCACAATGGAACCAACATATAAACTTACGAGCATCAAACACATACAGCTTCATATTGCACAAAGGAACCAACATATAAACTTACGAGCATCAAACACATACAGCTTCATATCGCGCAATGGAACCAACATATAAACTTACGAGCATCAAACACATACAGCTTCATATTGCACAAAGAAATAGGATATAACCACGTTCCTTATTGATATTACTCGAATTATTGATGGGAATGTAAAGTATTTTCTTATTATAATTATTATAGATATATTTGCCGCCTCCTGATTTTAGAAAAAAACATTATCTAGATACCTGATTGTCTTTCTTTCAATGACGAGTTGAGGGAAGGACCATCGATCTGACTATTGACTGGCTGGTACGTCCGTGTGTCGGACAATACTGACTGGTTCGTCCGTGTGTCGGACAAGACTGGCTGGTTCGTCCGTGTGTCGGACGACAAGATTGATGACGAAGATACGATGTCATTGTGATGAATACCAGCTTTCATTTTTAACAGAGAATTGAGAGGATCATAACGTCTTTTCTCGACAGACTCAAGGGTCGATAATCTGTTTAATATCATCTCGTTTTCACGTTCAAGAGCATTCATTCGTTGGAGAAGGCGACTGTTTTCGGATAATATGGCATCTGTAACGTATTAAACGGGTAAAAGAAGGCTTTTTGTGATTTTATAGTCTGTTATCACCGTATTCAAGATAACATAACATATATACAGCCAAACATCTCTACTTTATTGTACTGTTTCATTTTCAATCAATTGTGTGTCTTAAATCGTTGATATACGAGTAGCTTAGGAAGATGAATTAGACCTGTGTTTTATGAAGCCTATCTAGTCAGTAGATGTCACGTGACCAGTATGAATCTTCTGCACCGAAGATAACTTTTCACACCTGGAATTGTTGTTCCCAGTGAAACTTTTGGGACCTACTTTTTCTTTGTACTCAATGTAAACGTTTGGGACATTGATTTCTATATACATGATAAAATATTTGGGACGTTGATTTCTATATACATGATAAAATATTTGGGACGTTGATTTCTATATACATGATAAAATATTTGGGACGTTGATTTCTATATACATGATAAAATATTTGGGACGTTGATTTCTATATACATGATAAATATTTGGGACGTTGGATTCTATATACATGATAAAATATTTGGGACGTTGATTTCCATATACATGATAAAATATTTGGGACGTTGGATTCTATATACATGATAAAATATTTGGGACGTTGATTTCCATATACATGATAAAATATTTGGGACGTTGATTTCTATATACATGATAAAATATTTGGGACGTTGGATTCTATATACATGATAAAATATTTGGGACGTTGATTTCTATATACATGATAAAATATTTGGGACGTTGATTTCCATATACATGATAAAATATTTGGGACGTTGGATTCTATATACATGATAAAATATTTGGGACGTTGATTTCTATATACATGATAAAATGTTTGGGACGTTGATTTCTATATACATGATAAAATATTTGGGACGTTGATTTTCTATGTGCTTGCATCACTCGATGTCCTCCCTTACCTTCTGATTTTCCACAGAGTTGAAAAATAGAGGTTTGTTTTTCTACTGAAAGCAGTTGGTATCCGACAGCCAGAAGGTGTGTGTTATATAGTTTTAATATATATAAAGTAGACAAAGGGCAGAATATTTTCCGACTAACTTTTTGTACATAATATATCGATCACCAATATGATTGACTGTATAGTATTTTCGTAATTCTGACCCTTATTAAAAGACATCCATTTTGTCTTATATGTTATTTTTTCATCTGTAATCTTATTTCTTTTTTCAGTAAATTCGTTTCAAAAATTGCTGATATAATTTTGAATAGTTTGAAATAAACAACTTCACTTGACTGAATTACAGTGGAATTAAGTCAAATTGTGTTTGACTTCGACAGAATATAAACAGCATATCACAGTTACTAACACCTAAACACACCGAGTACATAAACCGCCATACACAGTGGTACAGTACTATAATCGTTAGTCTCACCGACTGTGTGCTGACATCTCGTCTCATCCCAGTGTTCCTGTTGGAGTTCACGCAGTATACTTTGTACATCGTCACTTGAAAAAGCGAAGACAAGACCAAGTGTTGATGTATACAGGATGGAGTAAATAACATGCATTGTGACGTTTACGTGGCGACCAACATATGTGTGTATTGGGGTGATCTTATCTTTAATGGCACCACACACATAGATAGTGCTTTACTTCATGCCTTTATTTATGTAAGGTCGACGAACCCTACATCAATTTTGTCACTCCGAAATATATCTACATGTCCATAGTACTGTTAAAAACTGACTTAGATGGCAATGATAAAAAGGGTGTCGTTTGCGTATCTATTATGACGTCATCATTGAAATCTTTTTCGTTTTTTCCAACAACAAACTTATTTGCTGTTTGGAGAAGGTGTTCATTATAACGTCATTTGTTTGAAAGAATTACGTCATAAATTTGATACCTGTTCACTAAAGCATAGTAACTCCGGATTACAACATATAGACGAAACTGCAATCTACAATAGGAATTATTCTGTTGGTAGCAAATAACCGATTGATAATATTTATAGATAGAATGGGGAAATGTGTACTTTTCTTTCTTCCATGCAAACATTTTATGCAAAATATAAGTACAGAGCGGGTGATAAGAAACTTCAAAGAAATCACGAGACAAATCCCAGGAACATTCCTTCGTTAGCAAGAGAAATCTGGACAAAATTAGACAGGGAATATTCTTTATTTGTAAATAAAAGCCAATGTAAATATATATATATTAGTGTATGATATATATTCACCAAGAATTCCCTAAACTACTGTATCATCCTCAAAGCCGTTTGTGTTCTGTCTGCTTTATAAATGTTTATATTCACCACTATTATATGACGAACGTATTGCGTTTATCCGTCCGTTCCAGAGGCATGTCCCGGTTTGATTTCTGACAACGTACCGGACGGACAAGGCTTAAAACTCGATTAGAGACTTGATACCTTGAATGTCAAGTTAAGGTTATAACGGAGTACCAGGAATGTCACATGAACGTTATAAAGTGGTACCAGGAATGTCACATGAAGGTTATAACGTGGTACCAGGAATGTCACATGAACGTTATAACGTGGTACCAGGAACGTCACATGACCGATATAACGTGGTACCAGGAGTGTCACGTGGTACCAGGAATGTCACAGGAATGTTATAACGTGGGACCAGGAATGTCACATGACCGTTATAACGTGGGACCAGGAATGCCACATGAACGTTATAACGTGGTACCAGGAAGGTCACATGAACGTTATAACGTGGTACCAGGAATGTCACATGAACGTTATAACGTGGTACCAGGAGTGTCACGTGGTACCAGGAATGTCACATGACCGGTATAACGTGGTACCAGGAATGTCACATGACCGATATAACGTGGTACCAGGAATGTCACATGAAAGTTAAACTTTGGTACTCTGGATGTCCAGTTTCATGATCGTTAAAAAATCTTAAGCTGAATGTCTGTTCCATGAACGTTAAACCTTGACAACTTGGATGTCCTGTTACATGAACGTTAAACCTTGACAACTTGGATGTCCTGTTACATGAACGTTAAACCTTGACAACTTGGATGTCCTGTTACATGAACGTTAAACCTTGACAACTTGGATGTCCTGTTCCATGAACGTTAAACCTTGACAACTTGGATGTCCTGTTACATGAACGTTAAACCTTGATAACCTGAATGTTCTTTTTCATGGCCGTTAAACCTCGATACCCTGGTTTTCTGTTACATGAACGTTGTACCTCCTACACATGGCGTGGCCGTGATTTGTTGACCCAAGTCTGACACCGATAATCCCGGTATAAATGTCGACCTTGTATCACAGAGGGAGGTCACAGTAATTTAGTATCAAGGACATTGGATAGTTAAGTGACGTTAAAAGGTCACATCTAAACAAATAATACATTTGTTGTTGAAAGTGTAAAGATAACTATAATTAGATACATATCTCACATTTCATAACTTCTCATTATGCAATTCTTTAATTGATTTAGAGGACAAAATAGAAAATAACTATTTATTTATTTATTTTGGTCAAATGATAAAAATAAATGATATAACGTCATAGGACGAAAAGGAACTCGGTTCTATACCCATTAATAGTAACACGTGTTGTCTCAGGACGAAAGGGAACTCGGGTCTATACCCATTAATAGTAACACGTGTTGTCTCAGGACGAAAGGGAACTCGGGTCTATACCCATTAATAGTAACGCGTGTTGTCACAGGACGAAAGGGAACTCGGGTCTATACCCATTAATAGTAACACGTGTTGTCACAGGACGAAAGGGAACTCGGGTCTATACCCATTAATAGTAACACGTGTTGTCACAGGACGAAATGGAACTCGGGTCTATACCCATTAATAGTAACACGTGTTGTCACAGGACGAAAGGGAACCCATTGTTGGTTCCATACCCATTAATAGTAACACGTGTTGTCACAGGACGAAAAGGAACACAGTGTTGGTACTATACCCATAAATAGTAACACGTGTTGTCACAGGACGAAAAGGAACTCGGTTCTATACCCATTAATAGTAACACATGTGGTCACAGTACTAAAGGAACTCGGGTCTATACCCATTAATAGTAACACGTGTTGTCACAGGACGAAAAGGAACATTAATAGTAACACGTGTTGTGGTACTATACCCATTAATAGTAACATGTGTTGTCACAGGACGAAAAGGAACTCGGGTCTATACCCATTAATAGTAACACGTGTTGTCACAGGACGAAAAGGAACCCATTGTTGGTTCCATACCCATTAATAGTAACACGTGTTGTCACAGGACGAAAAGGAACACAGGATACTAACACGTGTTGTCACAGGACGAAAAGGTCGGGTCTATACCCATTAATAGTAACACATGTTGTCACAGGACGAAAGGAACTCGGGTCGATACACATTAATAGTAACGCGTGTTGACACAGGACGAAAAGGAACTCTGTGTTGGTACTATACCCATTAATAGTAACGCGTGCTGTCACTGGACGAAAAGGAACTCTGTGTTGGTACTATACCTACTAATAGTAACACGTGTTGTCACAGGACGAAAGGGAACTCGGGTCTATACCCATTAATAGTAACACGTGTTGTCACAGGACGAAAAGGAACTCGGGTCTATACCCATTAATAGTAACACGTGTTGTCACAGGACGAAAAGGAACCCATTGTTGGTTCCATACCCATTAATAGTAACACGTGTTGTCACAGGACGAAAAGGAACACAGTGTTGGTACTATACCCATAAATAGTAACACGTGTTGTCACAGGACGAAAAGGAACTCGGGTCTATACCCATTAATAGTAACACATGTTGTCACAGGACGAAAGGAACTCGGGTCTATACCCATTAATAGTAACGCGTGTTGTCACAGGACGAAAAGGAACTCTGTGTTGGTACTATACCCATTAATAGTAACGCGTGCTGTCACTGGACGAAAAGGAACTCTGTGTTGGTACTATACCTACTAATAGTAACACGTGTTGTCACAGGACGAAAAGGAACACAGTGTTGGTTCCATACCCATTAATAGTAACACGTGTTGTCACAGGACGAAAAGGAACACAGTGTTGGTTCCATACCCATTAATAGTAACACGTGTTGTCACAGGACGAAAAGGAACACAGTGTTGGTACTATACCATAAATAGTAACACGTGTTGTCACTGGACGAAAAGGAACTCTGTGTTGGTACTATACCCATTAATAGTAACACGTGTTGTCACAGGACGAAAAGGAACTCAGTGTTGGTACTATACCCATTAATAGTAACGCGGGCTGTCACTGGACGAAAAGGAACTCTGTGTTGGTACTATACCTACTAATAGTAACACGTGTTGTCACAGGACGAAAAGGAACACAATGTTGGTTCCATACCCATTAATAGTAACACGTGTTGTCACAGGACGAAAAGGAACACAGTGTTGGTACTATACCCATAAATAGTAACACGTGTTGTCACAGGACGAAAAGGAACACAGTGTTGGTACTATACCAATAAATAGTAACGCGTGCTGTCACTGGACGAAAAGGAACTCTGTGTTGGTACTATACCTACTAATAGTAACACGTGTTGTCACAGGACGAAAAGGAACACAGTGTTGGTTCCATACCCATTAATAGTAACACGTGTTGTCACAGGACGAAAAGGAACACAGTGTTGGTACTATACCATAAATAGTAACACGTGTTGTCACTGGACGAAAAGGAACTCTGTGTTGGTACTGAACCCATTAATAGTAACGCGTGCTGTCTCAGGACGAAAGGGAACTCGGGTCTATACCCATTAATAGTAACGCGTGTTGTCACAGGACGAAAGGGAACTCGGGTCTATACCCATTAATAGTAACACGTGTTGTCACAGGACGAAAAGGAACTCGGGTCTATACCCATTAATAGTAACACGTGTTGTCATAGGACGGAAGGGAACTCGGGTCTATACCCATTAATAGTAACACGTGTTGTCACAGGACGAAAAGGAACTCGGGTCTATACCCATTAATAGTAACACGTGTTGTCACAGGACGAAAAGGAACCCATTGTTGGTTCCATACCCATTAATAGTAACACGTGTTGTCACAGGACGAAAAGGAACACAGTGTTGGTACTATACCCATAAATAGTAACACGTGTTGTCACAGGACGAAAAGGAACTCGGGTCTATACCCATTAATAGTAACACATGTTGTCACAGGACGAAAGGAACTCGGGTCTATACCCATTAATAGTAACGCGTGTTGTCACAGGACGAAAAGGAACTCAGTGTTGGTACTATACCCATTAATAGTAACACGTGTTGTCACAGGACGAAAGGGAACTCGGGTCTATACCCATTAATAGTAACACGTGTTGTCACAGGACGAAAAGGAACTCGGGTCTATACCCATTAATAGTAACACGTGTTGTCATAGGACGGAAGGGAACTCGGGTCTATACCCATTAATAGTAACACGTGTTGTCACAGGACGAAAAGGAACTCGGGTCTATACCCATTAATAGTAACACGTGTTGTCACAGGACGAAAAGGAACCCATTGTTGGTTCCATACCCATTAATAGTAACACGTGTTGTCACAGGACGAAAAGGAACACAGTGTTGGTACTATACCCATAAATAGTAACACGTGTTGTCACAGGACGAAAAGGAACTCGGGTCTATACCCATTAATAGTAACACATGTTGTCACAGGACGAAAAGGAACTCAGTGTTGGTACTATACCCATTAATAGTAACACGTGTTGTCACAGGACGAAAAGGAACTCAGTGTTGGTACTGTACCCATTTATAGTAACACGTGTTGTCACAGGACGAAAAGGAACTCAGTGTTGGTACTGTACCCATTAATAGTAACGCGTGCTGTCACTGGACGAAAAGGAACTCTGTGTTGGTACTATACCTACTAATAGTAACACGTGTTGTCACAGGACGAAAAGGAACACAGTGTTGGTTCCATACCCATTAATAGTAACACGTGTTGTCACAGGACGAAAAGGAACACAGTGTTGGTTCCATACCCATTAATAGTAACACGTGTTGTCACGGGACGAAAAGGAACACAGTGTTGGTACTATACCCATAAATAGTAACACGTGTTGTCACTGGACGAAAAGGAACTCTGTGTTGGTACTATACCCATTAATAGTAACACGTGTTGTCACAGGACGAAAAGGAACTCAGTGTTGGTACTATACCCATTAATAGTAACGCGTGCTGTCACTGGACGAAAAGGAACTCTGTGTTGGTACTATACCTACTAATAGTAACACGTGTTGTCACAGGACGAAAAGGAACACAATGTTGGTTCCATACCCATTAATAGTAACACGTGTTGTCACAGGACAAAAAGGAACACAGTGTTGGTACTATACCCATAAATAGTAACACGTGTTGTCACTGGACGAAAAGGAACTCTGTGTTGGTACTATACCCATTAATAGTAACACGTGTTGTCACAGGACGAAAAGGAACTCAGTGTTGTACTATACCCATTAATAGTAACGTGCTGTCACTGGACGAAAAGGAACTCTGTGTTGGTACTATACCTACTAATAGTAACACGTGTTGTCACAGGACGAAAAGGAACACAGTGTTGGTTCCATACCCATTAATAGTAACACGTGTTGTCACAGGACAAAAAGGAACACAGTGTTGGTACTATACCCATAAATAGTAACACGTGTTGTCACAGGACGAAAAGGAACACAGTGTTGATACTATACCCATAAATAGTAACGCGTGCTGTCACTGGACGAAAAGGAACTCTGTGTTGGTACTATACCTACTAATAGTAACACGTGTTGTCACAGGACGAAAAGGAACACAGTGTTGGTTCCATACCCATTAATAGTAACACGTGTTGTCACAGGACGAAAAGGAACTCGGGTCTATACCCATTAATAGTAACACGTGTTGTCACAGGACG